TACCACCAGGACGACCACAAGGTCGATCTCAACACAGACTCCAGAACCACCCAAGACCTGGGTGGCACAGAGGTGGCCCTCTCTAGCTCCCAACACTCCTACCATCACCATCTCAGCAGGTGTACTAGCAGACGTGCTGTCTACAAATGCTAACAGCACCACCAACGCTCCTGAAATAGCTTCTACTGCCAATCCACGACACCTGAGCCTACCTCAGGCTGCAAGGTGAAAGACAAAACCACCAATTACGGATGTTACAGACTCCTCAGACGAGGAAATCTCAGTAGGAGCTCCACCGCAGCAGCACAAATACGACGCCTACTCAAAACAAGTCCTCATCATGGAGGCCACTCACCAAACTCCGACGACATCACGGCCACATCAACTCGCAGCAAGGCTCAGCCAAAGAAAGACTGGAAGACTCAGAGGTCTACACTAACCCACCAGCTCCATAACTGGTACAACCAGCCCCCGTCCCCAGATCTCCAGTATCAACTATTGATACAGATAATTGTATTTTTTATTTATTTATATACAAGAAGGTATATTGAGTTTATGAGAGTACAGAGCATTGAAGTTTTACATTCTTGTAAAGCCACTAGTACACAGAGCGTTTCGGCTAGATGGCTTCATGAGCATAACCATGTTTCGGGCTGATGGCTCCATGAGCATGCCTATGTTTCAGGCAGATGGTTCCATGAGCATGCCCATGTTTCAGGCAGATGGTTCCATGAGCATGCCCATGTTTCGGGCAGATGGTTCCATGAGCATGCCCATGTTTCGGGCAGATGGTTCCATGAGCATGCCCATGTTTCGGGCAGATGGTTCCATGAGCATGCCCATGTTTCGGGCAGATGGTTCCATGAGCATGCCCATGTTTCGGGCAGATGGTTCCATGAGCATGCCCATGTTTCGGGCAGATGGTTCCATGAGCATGCCCATGTTTCGGGCAGATGGTTCCATGAGCATGCCCATGTTTCGGGCAGATGGTTCCATGAGCATGCCCATGTTTCGGGCAGATGGTTCCATGAGCATGACCATGTTTCGGGCAGATGGCATAATGGCTCCAAAGAGCCTCTACTTATGGGCTCACCATAGTCCGTGCTGCTTGGAACTTTTTGTTCTGAGTACTGAATCTAAAACAAAAGCAACCTTGAAAACTTGTAAGCTAATAACAGCATGTACAGAAACCTCTGACACTAATACCCCTTTCACACTGGATGAGTTCAATTGGGCTAAGAAAAGTTCCAAAGAGATATTCACTGGAGACGACAAAATAACGTAGAAAATTATTACAAACCTCGGCCCAGAAGGAGACGCTGCATACCTTTGATTAATTAATTTAGCCTTGACATCTCAAACTAGACCTACAGCTTACAATAGGGCAGACATAATGCCGATCCCAAAATCCAAAGATCCAGCAATTTCAAGGGCCCATTTCTCTCTAAAGCTGTACAGTGAGGACGACTGACAGAATGGCACTCAACAGACCTGAGTGGAAAACGCTTAAACTGAACTAGGACATGTATGCCTATAGAAAATGTGTTGGCACAGTGGCATGTATTATCACTCTGTTAGCCCAACTAAATTTCAGATCAGGAATGCTGATATTCCTTGACCTGGAGAAAGCCTTTGAACTGGCTAGCGCCCCAGCTATTCTCTGCTGCCTCATCGACAAAGAGGTCAAAGGCAACCTGCTCTCCTGGACCAAAAACTGCCCCATAAACAGCAGGTCGCTAACCTCCCTCTCTGGAGGAGCCAATCGACAAGTTCATACAACATAGTATGGACAGGCAGTCAGATCAGGGATCGACTATGCCGCACCTGCACTCACAAGTCTATCACAACAGCAGTGGAAAAATCTTGAAGTAGCACAAAACAATGCTGTGAGAGCCGCACTGGGAGCCCCAATGTGAATAAGGCTTGAAACTCTAAGACTGGAGACGGGTTTGCCCTCTCTTCAAGAAAGAATATCTCATAGAACAGCTACAATTATCAGTAAGATAATTGTTTCCCCTGATCCAGTCCCAGTACGGCAGGCCTTGGTGGCTGGACTTGGCCAAAATAATGGAAACTCTTGGGCTGCCAGAGCGGGAATAGGCCTAAACAGACTACAATTAAAAAGCATGAGTCTTGATAGAGGAGGAGATCAACCACACTCACACTACTCTTGTTCCCCACCGTAGGAGGAGCCTACCTTCAAAATGGTATTAGAAAGTCTTATGATGAATAAGGCTGCCTATGATCCAACAATCCTAAGGCGCATCATAGATTAGCAAATGAGAAACATTGCAGTAGCAGGAGCCACCCACATCTTCACAGACGGATCAGTGGACACAGAATATGAGAGTGCTGGCGCTGCTCTTTGCACGGCCAGCGTACAGGCATACTGGAGACTGGGAGGACCAGTATCATCAACCCAAACTGAGCTGTTTGCCATACAACAGGCATTAGCATATGTGATTGCACAAGACACTCAAAATGCAATCATACACACACTCAAAAGCTGCACTTCAAATATAAGGAAAAAAGCAGCAGAAACATAACGTGGAAATAATTACCATTTTGTATCTTGGAGCAGTAGCTAAAGGCAAAAGTCTCAACATAACCCTAAACTGGATCCTATCCCATGTTGGAGTCCCATTAAATGATAAAGCCGATGAAATTGCTAAATTGACAACTCGTCATCCAGTGATCCACAAAACAAGTCAACCCAGCCTAGAGTACATAAAAAACATCACCACCAAAAAACTCTCACACCTCAACAAAGCCCATCTACACCAGAGAGTAGAAGAAGGTTCGCTCTCTGCAATATGGTATCTTCAGGCCATCAAGTTAGACAGGCTAAATATCCCAATAGGAATCCACAGGGAAATATCAGTTCGGTTATATAGACTACGTCTAGGTTACAGATGCAACTGGGAGATTGGTGAACCCCGACAAAGGGAATGTATCGTCTGTCAAACTGTCACAGAAAAGCCTCTACTTCACTATCTCCTGGAATGTGAAGCAACCAACGACTTTAGAAGAGCTTTAAGAGTCCCTGACTCTTACGGTAACCACCCTAAAGCCAGCAACACTGTCACTCTTCTGGTAATGAAAAGTGTCCAGCAGCTGGACACTTATATATACTGTCAAGCAGTATCCTCCCCCGCGATAGCAGCCACATAGTAAGGACTGACGATTTAAATGCGAGCACAATACACAGTATATCCTTTCACGACCAAATATCACACATTCTCTCGAAAAAATCTACCACTTACTACAGTATCTATCTGGACTACATTATAAATATATATCTCTCTCTCTCTCTCTCTCTCTCTCTCTCTCTCTCTCTCTCTCTCTCTCTCTCTCTCTCTCTCTCTCTCTCTCTCTCTCTCTCTCTCTCTCTCTCTCTCTCTCTCTCTCTCTCAGTTGACGCCCGCACACTCACCCGCTATCCCAACATTATTCCTAAATGCTTGTATTAATGTTGCATCATACTGTTCATTATAAACAAGGGCACTGTACAATACTACATTACAACGCTTTACATAGGCGACAGGTTATATATTATAACACCCCTCCCCCCTGTGGTATGTTCTGGGTGCTGCTCCGGTTGTTAGCGTGACCCAGGGAGCACCCGGAGGAGGTAACGATTGGGCAACCTGAGCGCCATGCACAAGAGATGTGGATCAGGTGAGAGACCACAGTGACAGGTCACGTGGGGGTGGTCGAGACACCTGTGGGTCCTGTGACACCTGTGGGTCCAGTGACACCTGTGGGTCCAGTGACACCTGTGGGTGCTGTGACACCTGTGGGTCCAGTGACACCTGTGGGTCCAGTGACACCTGTGGGTGCTGTGACACCTGTGGGTCCAGTGACACCTGTGGGTCCAGTGACACCTGTGGTTCCGGTGACACCTGTGGGTCCAGTGACACCTGTGGGTCCTGTGACACCTGTGGGTCCAGTGACACCTGTGGGTCCAGTGACACCTGTGGGTCCAGTGACACCTGTGGGTCCAGTGACACCTGTGGGTGCTGTGACACCTGTGGGTGCTGTGACACCTGTGGGTCAAGTGACACCTGTGGGTCCTGTGACACCTGTGGGTCCAGTGACACCTGTGGGTCCTGTGACACCTGTGGGTCCAGTGACACCTGTGGGTCCAGTGACACCTGTGGGCCCAGTGACACCTATGGGTCCTGTGACACCTGTGGGTCCAGTGACACCTGTGGGCCCAGTGACACCTGTGGGTCCTGAGACACCTGTGGGCCCAGTGACACCTGTGGGTCCAGTGACACCTGTGGGTCCAGTGACACCTGTGGGTCCAGTAACACCTGTGGGTCCAGTGACACCTGTGGGTGCTGTGACACCTGTGGTTCCAGTGACACCTGTGGGTCCAGTAACACCTGTGGGTCCAGTGTAAACTTCAGACATATATAGGAACAGAACTCGACCATGTAGTCTATTGTCGTAACTGAACATTTGCATATTTGGGCTTCTCAGTTTATAATCAGAAGTATATAACATGTTTTCCCCTTTATGTAAACATTTGCATTCCAATAAACATGTTGACAGGCTGTAATAGTTACATAACATATATGAAATAAACAGAAATAATCGACGACTGAAACAATTACTCGTGGATTATGTTTTAAATTGTTTTTCCCCATTTCCTAGTTGTTCTGAAATGGCTAAAATTTTCTATTTCTTCTCTCCAGCAGAATTCGGGAACTTCTAGAATCATAACTGTGACGCCGCGGCGAAGCCTAATTGAAAATTTGGCAAATAAGGTGTTAGCATTGCCGTGACGTCACTGCATGGCATGTATCTCCTCAAGGCCAGCCAATGAGGGGTTAGTGTTGCCGTGACGTCACTGCATGTGCTCTCTACTCCCCTGCACGGGCAGCCAATCGCTGGTGATTGTGACGTCACTCCTGTACCCACTAATCTCGCGGGTCGTCTGTTATTGGACGAGCGAGTCTGTGACGTCACCCAGCATGTACTGACATCATCAAAATGTCCGCAGCTGGCAACATGGCCGCCACGAGGACATCACTGCTGCTCCTCCATTGTTTACTGGCACTGCTCAACAGTAAGTGGCCACCAGGCTTTATGGGGGGGGGAGAGAGAGAGAGAGAGAGAGAGAGAGAGAGAGAGAGAGAGAGAGAGAGAGAGAGAGAGAGAGAGAGAGAGAGAGAGAGAGAGAGAGAGAGAGAGAGAGAGAGAGAGAGAGAGAGACAGAGAGAGACAGAGAGAGACAGAGAGAGAGAGAGAGAGAGAGAGAGAGAGAGAGAGAGAGAGAGAGAGAGAGAGAGAGAGAGAGACAGAGACAGAGACAGAGACAGAGACAGAGAGAGAGAGAGAGAGAGAGAGAGAGAGAGAGAGAGAGAGAGAGAGAGGAGAGAGGGAGAGAGGGAGAGAGGGAGAGAGAGAGAGAGAGAGAGAGAGAGAGAGAGAGAGAGAGAGAGAGAGAGAGAGACAGAGAGAGAGGGAGAGAGACAGAGAGAGAGAGGGAGAGAGAGACAGATAGAGAGAGAGAGCTTCTCGTCCCCAGCATTGCGAAACTAATACGAATAAGGAAACCCGCAGAAGGCCATTAGGCCTATACGAGGCACCCTTCCTATTTATATCCCCCCCCCCCAAAGTCATTCATTTACATGTCTATCCTACGCTTGAAACAACCCAGGGATCCCACGTCTGTTATGTGACCCGGTAATGTGTTCCGTAAATGACCAACTGTTTCCAAAAGCCAGTATTTACCCAGGTCTTTCCTGAGCCTAAACGTCTTGGCTTAATATGATCATCGTATAAATTTAAGATAGGAACAATAAGAGTGTCGCCATCTTTTCCCGCGACGGTCGTTGTGTTTACAATTAATTCTTTTAAATTAAATTAAGTTTTAAATTAAAACTAATTCACGTGTTTTTGCGATTATTCTTGCAATAACAAATAAGTCGTCGGCCTCAAGAAATTTCAGTTGGAAAATAGGTCGTCGGCCAGATGCTTGAAGGGTGAAATTACGTTGGCCGTAGGAGGGAAGGTGCGCTGGCTGTCCTTCTTGTCCTCAACTGTCACCTCGTAAGGAAGTGACGAAACAACACTAACCCAGTATGAGTATACAGCATGTATGAGTATACAGCGTGTATGAGTATACAGCATGTATGAGTATACAGCGTGTATGAGTATACAGCGTGTATGAGTATACAGCGTGTATGAGTATACAGCGTGTATGAGTATACAGCGTGTATGAGTATACAGCGTGTATGAGTATACAGCGTGTATGAGTATACAGCATGTATGAGTATACAGCGTGTATGAGTATACAGCGTGTATGAGTATACAGCGTGTATGAGTATACAGCGTGTATGAGTATACAGCGTGTATGAGTATACAGCGTGTATGAGTATACAGTGTGTATGAGTATACATCATGCATGAGTATACAGCATGTATGAGTATACAGCATGTATGAGTATACATCATGTATGAGTATACAGCATGTATGAGTATACAGCGTGTATGAGTATACAGCATGTATGAGTATACAGCATCATGAGTATACAGCATGTATGAGTATACATCATGTATGAGTATACAGCATGTATGAGTATACAGCGTGTATGAGTATACAACATGTATGAGTATACAGTATGTATGTGTATACAGCGTGTATGAGTATACGGCATGTATGAGTATACAGTATGTATGTTTATACAGCGTGTATGAGTATACAACATGTATGAGTATACAGTATGTATGTTTATACAGCGTGTATGAGTATACAACATGTATGAGTATACAGTATGTATGTTTATACAGCGTGTATGAGTATACAGTATGTATGAGTATACAACATGTATGAGTATACAACATGTATGAGTATACAGCATGTATGAGTATTCAGTATGTATGAGTATACGAGTATACAGTATGTATGAGTATACGAGTATACAGTATGTATGAGTATACGAGTATACAGTATGTATGAGTATACGAGTATACAGTATGTATGAGTATACGAGTATACAACATGTATGAGTATACATCATGTATGAGTATACAGTATATATGAGTATACACATATATGTGTATACAGCGTGTATGAGTTTACAACATGTATGTGCATACAGCGTGTATGAGTATTCAGCCTGCATGAGTATACAGCATGTATGAGTTTACAGCGTGTATGAGTATATGGCATGTATGAGTATACGAGTATACAGTATGTATGAGTATACGAGTATACAACATGTATGAGTATACAGTATATATGAGTATACACATATATGTGTATACAGCGTGTATGAGTATACAGCATGTATGAGTATACGGCATGTATGGGTATAAAGCATGTATGAGTATACAGTATGTATGTTTATACAGCGTGTATGAGTGTACAGCATGTATGAGTATACAGCGTGTATGAGTATACGGCATGTATGAGTATACAGCATATATGTGTATACAGCGTATATAAGTATACAACATATATGAGTATACAGCGTGTATGAGTATACAGCGTGTATGAGTATACAGCGTGTATGAGTAAACAGCGTGTATGAGTATACAACATGTATGAGTATACAGCATGTATGAGTATACAGCATGTATGTGTATACAACATGTATGAGTATACAGCATGTATGAGTATACAGCATGTATGAGTATACAACATGTATGAGTATACAACATGTATGAGTATACAACATGTATGAGCATACAGCATGCATGAGTATACAGCATGTATGAGTATACATCATGTATGAGTATACAGCATGTATGAGTATACGGCGTGTATGAGTATACAGCATGTACGAGTTGGAGAGACTCAAAAGGGTGCTCGACTTAACAGAGATGCTAGCTATTCAAAAGGCTTTGGAACATGCTCTTGCTGAACACCGACAACATGTTATCATACATACAGATTCGAGAACCGCCATTGAAACCTTGCAACAAGAACACATACGTGATAACATCCATCTGATCACAAATGTCATATCATTATTGCAAACACTCAAACGACAAGGCCGTCGGGTACTTATCAACTGGGTGCCAAGTCATGTGGAATTAATAGGTGTCGGAAAATCCGACACCATTTAATATCATACAGATAATAGCTGTATTGTATAAACAAGTTACCCATAGAAAACGTAACTTGTAGTGGAATTACCGTCTAAAGAAAACGGGATATCATCACCACATACTATTATATTCACCACCTATTATGGTGGGAATTATTCTTAAATACATTAGTCTTTGGACTTTACCATTATAAAAACATCTCATATAAATTAACTTAAGTATCAATATTAAAGTAGAGTAAATGTGACCCTTCTATCACTTATTGACATCTGGACAATGTAGGCCAGGCGTCAGTGGGGAAGGAGGGCAGCCATTGTTATTGTCACCTCCGAGACGCGTGGAGCAAATTCGGCTCCTGTTAATTTTACTTGGACGTAGTGTTATGGAAACCAAAGGTGTACCATCTTCAACACGCTGTCAACAAATTCAAGTTAAGTGTTCTTTCCGAAACCCATGTATCTTTCATTTGTGGCCATTAATGTCATTATATAGGGTGACCCGGTTAGAGCACGTGGTAGCCTCAAACTAAAGGTAATTAAGCCAGGTCTTTAAGGTTCCATGTACAGTGTTTTCTCTGATATAGCTTGTCATATATAGGTATCTGGCTTTACAGCTCGCGCCCTTTTGACAGGTCAAGACGAGGAAGCATGCTTTGTACATCAGTTACCAGGGTGATGGAAGCTACCTCAAAGAGGGAAAATGTGGTGTCTACATCCTGGTTATACCTGCTGTACAAAAAAGATAAGGAACCTCTTCAATGTATGTAGTCTAATACTGTAGTTTGATTGGCTGCATATATATAAATAATATAAACCCCCCTAATGTGTAGAGGATCGATTTGTGAGATTATGAGATTATTGCAGAAATACAGTCCACTTATCATTATACAAATTGCTATCGAAGTATATAAATTAACGTAAATATAAATTCATATAAATTAAATAAATATAAATCTCACAGGTCGGTTCCCACAATAGGAAATGACATTGCAGACGAAGCTGCAAAACTTGCAACTAAGAGAAGAAATGTAGACATTTACATACCCCAGAGTCTATCACAGATTATGAAAGTAATTAGAAACAGAGCAATGCAAAAGATGTACAGTGACCACAACACAGCAGTTGCAACATCAGGATCTGCGGGTTGGTACAAGAATTCAACCAACTACGAACCACTTAGTTTGATGAAAGGGAGCAGTAGAACAATTTTTTACATTTTTTTTTAGAGGAAGGCAGAAACAGAGTAGAAAATATAAGAGAGAGGAACAGTCAGATGGAACCACTACAGGATTACAGAGGGGAAGGGAGATACCCACAAGACTGGAATACAAATTATCAACAAGCACACAGGTACTACACCACACAACACCCGTCCTACTACGAAAACTGGACGAATCACTTCCAAAACAACACACCCTGGACCTGGGTAGAGTGGGGGAAGAACTACCAAAGCCCACCAGAAGTGACGCGCAGTCTGGGAAATCATTCATATTTGCAAACATACAAGGCTTGAAACCAAAACCAAGAAATAAAGTTAAGTTCATAAATGGCCTCCTAATAGAATCGAACTCAATATTTGGTGCATTTACAGAAACCCACACAAAAGACCACATGGATAGTGAAATCTGGGTTCCGAATTAGAATCTATATAGATGTCACAGATTAATTAGGTCAAGTGGAGGAGTAGGTCTGTATATTAAAGAGGAGCTGGCATGCACAGAGCTCCTGAACTCGTCCAATGAGGTGGTAGAGGTACTTGGAATCAAGGTAGAAAATATGAATCTACTTATTATTTTAATATACAAACCGCCAGATGCAACAGTTGAGGAATTCACTGAACAGATCCACAAAAAAGAGAATATCCTTGATAACCTAGCAAACCCAGTACCAGACATCATCTTCCTTGGAGACTTCAATCTACCCAGTTTAAAATGGAGAATAGTAAACAATAACATTATAGCAGGAAATCAACTTGGAAATAACCAACCACAGGTCAGAGAACTACTGAGATT